TCTCTGAAAAATAATTTTTGTTTGTTACAAATTCAGCTCGTGAAGAGAAAGAAAACTGGTTTGCAGCACCAAACCACAGAACTCAACTTCCTTATCAACACCCCCAGTTGTGCATCATTCAGAAAGAGGTGGAGTTTTTCAGCTGATCCTTTAAAAAACAGGTTTAAAAGACCCAGACCAGGAGTCCTCCACTGTATCAGGATTTAAACAGAAATTAAGCCAGTCCAGTTAATTAATCCCCAGATAATCAATCCTCTGTGCAAATCTGGCTTGTACTTATTTTTTTTAGGTTGGAAAAAACCTCTAACACCATCCAATCTTTTTATTACAGTGAACCACTGGCAGTGAATTCACCTGGAATATCCATGGTAATAAAGCACTTAAAAATAATTAAAGCAAAGAACACATTCGCCATCAGACAACACATTTCCAGGAACACAGACAAGTTTTCACTGTGGATGTTTTTTTTTGGTCATTTCACAACAAGAAATGCCCAGAGGAGGCAGCTGCTGATGTCCCTCCCCAGGGGAGGGAGGGATGGATGTACCTCTCCCTCCTGGAATGCTCCCTTGCCATCTCTCTCCGTTTCTGTCTCTCCCATTCACGCCGGGCTTTATCCTGCTCTTCTCTATGTCTCTTCCTACGCTCATGCTCCCGTTCTTTCTCTTTCACTCTGGCATGCTTCCCTTGAATAAACAGAAATCAATTTCCGAGTGTTACTGCTCAAAATAACCACCAGAAGCAAAACTCAGGGGGTGAAACTGATGGGAACTATTGCTGTGACCTCTGTTGTTTTCCTAAAGGGAAAATTCTGTTCTGAAAGGGAGTGGGCAAGCCCAAAGTCTGTAAGATTTTGCATGAATACTTGTATTAAAGTAAAAAGTCATTGTAATTGAGAGGAAGACTATGGGAATGTCTCTAATAAGGAAATTTTTAGACTCTTATCAGGCTTCAAGGAGTAAAAGTGACCTCAGTGTCCCTGTCCCAAAGTGATTTCTGTCCTCTCAACCATGGTCACACCCCTGTCATTCCCCTAAGGGCCCTAAACACAGCCAAAGAAATAAAAACAGTTTAAATTCTTCTGTCTTATCCACCTGCTGTGTTTCCTTCAGTCTGAGTTATTGTTATTTACTCTACTCCCAGAAAGCAGAAATTTGCAAGAGTGGCAAGAAGCACCTTCTGCAGAGTGACTCCTGTGCCTGCGTTTCTCTTTCCTCTTCTCATCTTTCCTGTGATGGGCTTTTTCTTTCCGGGACATTTGCTGGGGTGGTTTGATAGCCAAGGAATCATCTTCTTCTCCCCTGAAAGGCAGGACAGGAATAAACTCAGGGAGTTTAATAAACTCAGGAGTAAACTCAGGGAGGTGACAGGGGAAATCAGATTTCCTTGTCTGGAAAAGATGCCCATTTTATATTGTAAAAATATGTAAAAGAATAAAACCAGCTGAGGTTTAGAAGGAGCTGACAGAACATTCAGAGCAATAAAACCAATTAAATGAAAGGTTACACAGATTGAGCACTGTCAGCATAAAGCCAAGCACAAAAAGGAGCTGTTTGGTATGAGCTGAGCAAGAAAGAGAAAGCAAAAAATATGGTTTGTTCTGCTATTTTTGAATAATCTTTTTCACCTAATATTTATATTGAGTTTCCACAATAAATCCAAACTGGAGCACAACACTGTTAAATCTTAACCAGCGTTTCAAAAAGTTACCCTGGAGTGTTCTATAAAAAGGATTTCCACTTCTGCACACTAAAAAAATTTGAATTTCCCTTCAGATAGTTGAAACACTTTTCTGAGGATGCTGAAAGGTTAATTTTTTCTCTTTTTATTTCCTCACTCTTACCTATCTTCCATGGAGTCTTCCCTCCTGTAAGGCGAGTTTCTGATGGTGATTTCCATGCGATGGTCTCTCAGCTCCCCCTCCTCAAGAGAATCCCTCTTGGAATCCCTGTCATCTGACTGAGGAAAGCACAGCAGAGAGGAAAACCCATTTGTTTGTACTGCTCAAAATGAAAATAATTCAGTGTTACTGAAATATTCCACTGCTGGCTCAAAAATTCAGCCTGGACTGGTCATCCCTGTAAAATTCTCTGATTTATGACTGCAGTGTTTTATTAGAGCTGCATTAATTTGATATAATTAGGTAAAATTAAACACTGAGGAGGAGTGCAGTAACTATTGTGTGGTTTTTTCTCCAATAATTATTTTGTACAACAGCTGTAAAAAACCAAACAGCAAGATAAAAGTGATTCCAAACCCATGACATTAACCCATTCTTCTATAAAACCTTTAAAAGTTGCTCCTTGAACTGCAAGCCCCAGATGATTACTTTATTTATTTTTATTTTAATAAATATTTACACATTTTTATTTATTTCAAATTAATTTATTCAAACATTAATTATTGTATATAATTATATACAATTATCTAAATTTAAATTATTAACTACATTAATTTCTATTTTCTGACCAATAACTAAATAATAATTCTGACCAATAACCAAACAACAAGATAAAAGTGATTCCAAACCCATAATTTTAACCCATTCTTCTATAAAATCTCTAAAAGTTGTTCCTTGAACTGCAAGACCCAACTTTATTTATGTTTATTTATATACATATATTTATATCTTTAAATTTATTTAAAATTAATCTATTTAATTTAAACATTCATTATTGTACATAATTATATATAATTATCTAAATTTAAATTATTAACTACATTAATTTATTTCTTTTTTCTGAACCAATAACTATAACAAAGGACAGCATATAATGCAAGACCAATGAAATCTTCACAAAGCATCATATTTTTGTTAAACTTTGGAATTAGAGACCACACAGAAAAAACTTCAGCTGACAGAGCATGAGAAAATCAGGAAAATCACCAGAAAATCAGGATTCAGGCACTGCACCCCATTAAAATGCATTTTTTTATTAATAAAGGAAATAATTCAATTAAAATGAGTCCCAAAGGGCAGCTTACATTTTTCATACGTTTGATCTCTGCCTTCTCCTCTTGCTCCTTCCTTCGTTTCTTCTCCTGGAGAATCTCATCTAAAGTCTTCACTTTCCAAGAATCCTTTTCATCACCCATTTGAGTTAAAAAAACCACCCTCTGTAAAAGAAGGAGACGTTGACAAACCCCACAAATAAACAGAGAGAAATAAAAATAAATCTATTTTACACCCATTTTTTTCAGCGCAAACACTTCATGTCCTATTTCTGAGTAAAGCCATGCTGGAGTTGATTTATGGTGGACCAAAAATGTTTGTTTTAAACGCAAAGGAAAGATCCTGCTAAGAACTCAGGGAGCTGCTGGAGGGCACAAAAATCAATTTACGGCCAAGGTTTGGTGCCACAGATTTAACAACGAGCTGAGACCTCGGGGAGGTAACAAAGCTTGGGGAAAAAAGGACACCAGGAATGTGAAATTTATGGGATAGCTGGCAGCACTCCGGAGATAAGGAAGAAAATAATGCAGATTTCAGCTGTCACTGAGGAAAAGGTAATTCCAGCACGACTGGTGTCCCCCTCAGACCCTCAGTGTCACCTCAGTGGCCCAGTGTCACCTCAGTGTCACCTCAGCGTCCCGGTGTCCCCTGAGTGGCCCGGGTGTCCCCTCAGCAGCCCCAGTGTCCCCTCAGAGCTCCCGGTGTCCCCTCAGCGGCCCCGCTGTCCCCTCAGCGGCCCGGGTGTCCCCTCAGCGGCCCCACTGTCCCCTCAGCAGCCCCGGGTGTCCCCTCAGAACCCCCGGTGTCCCCTCACAGCCCCCGCTGTCCCCTCAGCGGCCCCGCTGTCCCCTGAGCGGCCCGGGTGTCCCCTCAGCGGCCCCGCTGTCCCCTCAGCGGCCCCGGTGTCCCCTCAAAGCCCCCGCTGTCCCCTCAGAACCCCCGGTGTCCCCTCAGCGGCCCGGGTGTCCCCTCAGAACCCCCGGTGTCCCCTCACAGCCCCCGCTGTCCCCTCAGCGGCCCCGGTGTCCCCTCAGCAGCCCCGGTGTCCCCTCACAGCCCCCGCTGTCCCCCCGGCCCCGCTCACCGCCGCCGCCACCGGGATCTGGGAGCAGCAGCGCGCGACTCACGCGTCACTTCCGGCCGCCGCCGCGCGCCGCTGACGTCAGCGCCGCCTCACGGCGCCGTAATTAACGCAGGGCGCTAATGAGGCGTTAATTGAGCCGCTTTCCCCTCAGAACGGCCAAGCCGAGGGGCTTTAACCCAGCGAACGGAGGCGTTGGCACCGCCGGGCCGCATTTAATTACACATCGAAGCGCGGGATTTGAATAAATTTGAATAAATCTGAATAAATTGGATTGAAGAAATGTGTTTGAATAAGTTTGATTCAAACCAAAAGCAGCAGTTCTTACATGGAAATGAGTGAGAGTGTGAGGGAGGAGGGGACAGAGGTGACACTAAGATTCCCAGAACAGCAGATCCCTAATTATCCTAATTATGATCCCCAAGATGCACTAATTATCCATCCCCCATTGGAAATATGACAATAATGATATAGAATGGGAAATAACGGGATATAATGGCGAATAATGACAATTAAGAAGCACAGGGAGTGCTGCAACACTTTCCACCCGCACCTCAGTGCATCGGGAATTCACATTTAAGGAAAAAAATGCTCTGAGTGAATTAAAAATGTAAAATAAATAAAGTGCACGGCTCCAGCTCACAGAGCTTGTCCTCGTCACGGGTACCTGGGTGTGGCCACGAGAAATGCAAGGACAAAAACTCTAAAATGTTGCAAAAAATTCGATTTTTTTTGTCACAGTAAGAGCTGGGCTGGGACACCCTCGAGAATTCATAACAAAGAGCAAAAACCTGCTGAATTTTAAAATGATGGGATATATGTGAGAACAGAGCTGGGATTTCTGTCACCTAAAGCAGAAATATGACACAAACCACACTTTTTTTTTTTTTTTTTTTTTTTGTAGTTATACTTTCAAAAATCTCAGTGTATTTAGCAGAAAACAAATTAAAAAAAAACCCACAGAGCTCCACAGTCCACAGCTTTTATAAAAATGACAGGAGTACAAAAGAAAACAAAATACCACAGACATATCACATACACAAGGATGAAAAAATTGGCATTTTTCTCCCTCAGATCTTTGGGGCATCTGCCCCAGGTAGTCACTGAGATGTGGAAATCTAATTTTACAGAATTCCACTTGTATTTTCCTGTTAGCCATTATTTTTACCATAAAGACCACTATATATCCATGCTCCAACCTTCCAGAATAGTAGCAGTTATTGAAATCCACTCATTTTAATTTAAGTTTTGTTCCCAAAAAGTCCATGTTAATATTTCTGTAGCTACATGTGTGCTTTATTTTTGTCAAAACTGACTGTTCTTCAGAATTTTGAAAAGGAAAGTTAGCTTTTAATCTCTGATCTACCACAAAAACAAATTTCCTTTAAGAAAAAGGAAACTTAAAAGCAGCAGAAATACAGATTTGCCTCAGTTTATGGTAAATATTCCTTCCATCTGTCACAGATGCCTCTGAGATTTCTTTATGTAATCAGAAATGAGATATTTTACACACAGGTCAGACTCATAACCCTGAGATTCTAAAAGGCAGCCTTTTGCTGCACTCTTAGAAATAATATTAAAAACCCCATCAATTTCTTTCCTCATGCATAATAAAATGAAAACAAAATGTTTTTTTACAGAAATACAGCGATCCTGCTTCCTTTGTCACCACAATTTTCAGTGGGTTTTTTTTTTTTTTTTACCTCTAAGCAACTACAAGTATTGAATTCAACACTCCATTTACACAGGGTACATGTGTGAATATTTGCATTTCATTTTTGCCAACAAATGATAAGAATGCAATATTTCCACATTCAATTTTTACATTTTAAACCACTACAAATCCTGGATTTGTAGCCAGCAGCAGCTGCTCACCACAGCTCATTTCCCACAGTTTGCTTCAAGCAAACCTATAAAGTTGCGGGTTTTTTTGGGAGAGAAGGGTGGGAATTCCAATCCCTTTTAGAATTATGGAATATTCTGAGTGGGAGGGGACCCACAAGGACCATCCAGTCCAACTCCTGCCCTGTACAGAAGCCAAAATCCACCCCAAAAATCCCTTCTTGTGCTGTTCAAATGCTCCTGGACTCTGGCAATTTTTGGGAGCCCAAAAAGCCCTCAGGGCTTGAGGTGAGGTCAGAGTGGGACAATCTCGTCCTTGGACCTCCTTCCATCTCTCCAGCACTCAGGAATGAGGGAGGATGCAGGAAATGCAGAGCAACAACCAGAAACTTCCACGAGGCACCAATTTCATCCCTCTGCCAGCAGAATTCCGTGGTGGGGCCCCATTTTCACATTGTTTGGATGTGGAGGGAGACAGGAATTGTTCTCCCACAGGACACTGAAGTTCTTCCACCAGCACAGGCTTGGATGTGATTGGGAGTCAAAGAGAGACAGCAAAGCCCACATTTACCACGTTCCAGGTCCTCTTTTAGGAGCATCAGACTCCCAAGTCTTTCCTGGATCCTTCCCAGCTCCTTCTAGCTCCAAATCCTGGGTAAGACCTGCCAGGAACTCAAAGGAACTCAGAGGAACAGCCACATCCACGAAGATTTCAGGCATTCAGAGGAACAGCCACATCCAGGAGGATTTGAGGAACTCAGAGGAACAACCACACCCAGGAGGATTTGAGGAACTCGAAGGAACTAGAGGAACAACCAAATCCAGGAGGATTTGAGGAATTCAAAGGAACCAGAGGAACAGCCACATCCAGGAGGATCTGAGGAACTCAGAGGAACAACCACACCCAGGAGGATTTGAGGAACTTGAAGGAACTAGAGGAACAACCATATCCAGAAAGATTTGAGGAACTCAAAGGAACAACCAAATCCAGGAGGATTTCAGGAATTCAAAGGAATAGCCAGATCCATGAGGATTTCAGGAACTCAGAGGAACCAGAGGAACAGCCACATCCAGGAGGATTTCAGGAACTCAGAGGAACAGCCCCATCCAGGAGGATTTGAGGAATTCAAAGGAGCCACCACATCCAGGAGGATTTCTAGAATTCAAAGGAACAGCCCCATCCAGGAGGATTTGAGAAATTCAAAGGAACCACCACACCCAGGAGGATTTCAGGAACTCAGAGGAACAGCCCCATCCCGGAGGGTCTCCTTGCAGAGCCCCATCAATCATAGGGCTCCAAATCCTTGGGGATCAGGGGCTCGGTGTCCTCGGTGGGCCCTGGGGGCTGTGGGGCCATGGCCAGGCTGTGCAGGGTCTCCTGCTGGTGCTGCTTGGCCTTGTTGTAGAGCAGGACGCCCACGGTGACCAGGACAGTGCCCACGGCCGACAGGCTGGTGATCTTGTTCCCAAACACGATGATGCTGAGCCAGATGGACAGGGCGTGTTTGACAGTGCTGGCAACGCTGCGGGGACAGCAGGGGACATTGGGGACGTCAGGGGACACGGGGGACATCAGGGGGACGTGAGGGGACAGCACCAGGCTTTAATGTCAGCCTTGCCCCTAAACACCACCTCAGATTCCACTTCTAGCCCCAGCCATTCTGTAATTTACCACGTTCATCTCTTTGCAAAACCTTTAGTTTTCTGGTTTTTTTTTTTTAAACACCACCTCAGATTCCACTTCCAGCCCCAGCCATTCTGTGGTTTATCTCATTAATTTCTTTGCATAACACCTTTAGTTTTCTCGTTTTTTTTTTAAACACCACCTCAGATTCCACTTCCAACCTCAACCATTCTGTGATTTACCTCGTTCATCTCTTTGCAAAACACCTTTAGTTTTCCTTTTTTTTTTTAAACACCACCTCAGATTCCACTTCCAGCCCCAACTATTCTGTGATTTACCTCATGAATTTCTTTGCACAACACCTTTAGTTTTCTGGTTTTTTTTTTTTTATAAACACCACCTCAGATTCCACTTCCAACCTCAACCATTCTGTGATTTACCTCATTCATCTCTTTGCAAAACCTTTAGTTTTCCATTTTTTTTAACACCACCTCAGATTCCACTTCCAGTCTCATGAATTTCTTTGCACAAAACCTTTAGTTTTCTGTTTGTTTTTTTTTAAAACACCAACACAGATTCCACTTCCAGCCCCAGTCATTCTGTGATTTCCCTCATTAATTTCCTTGCACAATACCTTAATTTTCCTTTTTTTTTAAACACCACCTCAGATTCCACTTCCAGCCCCAACTATTCTGTGATTTACCTCATTAATTTCTTTATAAAATACCTTTGGTTTTCCTTTTTTTTTAAATGCCACCTCAAATTCCACTTCCAGCCCCATCCATGCTGTGATTTTTTTCTTTGCACACTACCTTTGATGTCTCATTCTCAAGCAGAAACACTGAGCAGGTAAAAACTAATAGAAAATAAATGTTCCTGACAAAAAATACAAGATAGTATTCTTGACCAAAAAAATTATAAAATGCTGTTTCTGACAAAAAAAAAAAAAATTATAAAATAACGTTCCTGAAAAGGAATATAAAATAGTGTTCCTGACAAAAGAGTATAAAATAATGTTCCTGACAAAAAAATAGAAAATCTTCCTGACAAAAAAATAATGTTTCTGACCAAAAAAATAAGAATGTTTCTGTAAAAAAAAAAAAAAAAAAAAAGAAAATAGTGTTTCCTTATCAAAAAATACAAAACAGTGTTCCTGATCAAAGAAAATAAAATAGTGTTCCTGATGAAGAAATAGAAAATAATGCTCCTGACAATTTTACCTGAAAGTCACAGGGGAGATTTTCCCCATCAAGGCATAGGCTGTGACACTCTGCAGGTGGAACAGGACTCCATCGATCAGGAGGAGAATCACAATATCCTGGTTGTAGCTGAAGCTCCTCCCACTTTTCCCAATCACAGGCACGTCCTGAATTCCCCAAAAAAATCAAAAAAATTGGAATTTAAGGGTTTAGTTCATGAGAAAAACCTAGAAGTGATTTTTCACCCAACTGTTAGAAGCAGAGAGAGTTTTATATTTAAATTTTAGCCCTAAAAACAAAACATAAAACATACAAGACATTTAGATCCTGTAAGTTTTTCTCCAAAAAAAATTTGCACATCTTAAAATAAAAAAAAAATTAATTTAAGGGTTTAGTTATTGAGAAAAATTTAAGTGATTTTACACCCGTCAGAAACAAAGTTTTACATTTAAATTTTAGCCCAACAAAACCTAAAACATACAAGGCATTTAAATCCAATAATTTTTTCTCAAAAAAAATTTACATATCCTAAAATTATTAAAAAAATGGAATTTAAGGGTTTAGTTCATGAGAAAAATCTAAAGTGATTTTCCACCCAACTGTTAGAAGCAAAATTACATTTACATTTTAGCCCAATAAAACCCAAAACATACGAGACATTTAGAGCCAATAATTTTTTATCAACAAAAATTTGCTTTCAGAGTTAATATTCCTGTACATCACATGAACAGCAACAAAAAGTCAACAAATATTCCAGATTTTGTTTCAAGTCTTTATCTCAAAGCTCAAATGCACCAAGGCAAAATCATGATTTGAACTCAAAAATCCTGAGATAAATTCAGGCTTTTTGGATTAACTCACATCTCTATTAAAAGATTTTTTAAAATTTTCTCTTTTTTACTGCCCCAATCTCTTGCAAACATTGGGTGAATTGTATTTCAGGCTTATTTTTTTAAAAATCAAAAATTAATTTTTCAAATAAAAATACGTTTTTTAACAGGAAGGATAAAAGGTAAATTTTGAGATTATCCTTTGTCGCACATTCTGCTCACAATTAAAAAAAAAAAAAACAACTAAATTGATTTTTAAAATCTCTAAATTCATTAAAATAATGAATTCAAATTACCATGAAAAATATCCAAGCTGGAATAAGCATAACCACAGCAGCAGCACTTGTGTAGAACTGAAGCTCTGGAGCTCTACAAAGGAGAAAAAAAAAAATTTTAATTATTTAAAACTTCATTTTTCAAAGCAAAGATAAGAGGTTTGCTCTCAGGGACTGAAGCTGAAAGGCACAAAAAACCAAAACTAGCTTTTTATCTCATGGTAAAATACAAATATTTTATTAAAGGTGGATTTTAGCACAAAATTTTACTCTTGGTTTAAGTTTCAGAGATAAAAAGTTGCTTTCTGCACACCCAGCAATGTTAGGGATGGTTCCTGATTGCAGTGTAAGGACTTATTGCTATGAAAATATTATTTTTAGGGGTTTTAGTTCTATTTTTCAATATTTATATTTATAAGACATTATAATTTAATGCATTACATTTGTATAAAATATTTATATATTAAGAAAATATTTCAATTAAATAAAAATTATTTAATAACTATTAAATAAATATTTTATAAATATGTATAGAATTTTATAAATATTTATATTTTATTGATATTTCTATTTTAAAATATTTATTTCTGGGAATTGTAACTGATTGTGAGCTCAGGGGAGTTTTCTTACCCTGATAAAATGATAGAAGTGATCAGATTTACACCTTTGTGCAATATAATGATAAATATTTAATTTCTTTATGCAGCCCTAATAGAAGCAAACCTGAAATATTTTGAGTACTTACGAAAATCTGTATTTATCTCCACTGAGTAGTTTTTTGGAAAAGACGTTTTGCAAGCTAGAGAAGAAAAAGAAAAGTTTAATTAACAAAAAAAACCCCTAACTTTTAAAATTTAATTTGTTAAAATGTATTTTTAAATTAAAAAAAAACAAAAATTGTTATTTTTTTAAAAAATTATTTTTTTAAAATAATGTAGCTTTCTTTTTAAAAATTAAATTTTTTTCACTAAAAAAAATCTTTAATTAAAGCCCACCATTTAGCTGTATTATAATTAGGACAAATCAATCCATTCATTGATCCTCAGGTAGATAAATATTTTTCTACAAGCACAGAAAGGAGTTTGATCTAATGAAGTTTTATTATTTAATCTCAATAATGCTGTTTGAGATGAGAGAGGAAGAGAATAATTTCTTAAAAATGCATTTTCAATACCAACATTCCTACACACTGTACAGAATGAACAATGTTAAGTGATTTTCTTTATAAAAATAAATATGAGGTACAAAATATGAGGTACAAAATATAATTAATTGTTTTTCCCACCCCCAGAGCTGCCCTGGTGTCGGAATGTGTCCCCTATTAATGGAGTCAACAAGTTACCCTTTGTCTCCTTAAAAAGGATAAAACCCCAGAAATTTCTCTCCTCAATTTTATTAAAAGACACCTCATAGGACCTTGGGGACTTCACCTCAAATTTAAGGACACCCAATTGGACAGGAACTAAAAAGTCCTGAGCAATTCACTAGAAAAGAAGAGAACCAAACAAATAAAACTAAAAAAATCTCACGAAAGCAATTCACTAGAAAGGAAGAGAACAAAAGAAATAAATCACTTTTGTGAAATGTTTTAGCAGGAGCAAGAACCTCTTGCCCTGACTCGGTTTTTCTCTGTAAAGAGCTTTTTTATTTTGCCTTTTATTAAAACTTTTTTTGTTTCCAGCACTGCCACGGGAGCCATCCTGTACTTTTATGGCACCTGAGGTGCTGAGCTCTCAGGGGTGTGATGTTTTGTGTATCAGAGCCTGCAGGACCCAGCTGGAAGGGATAAAACACCAGGTGCTCACCAGTCCATGATGTTGGTGGACAGAGCTGCAGAGAAGCCCAGGATGTTGAAGCTGATTTCAGTGGCCGTGCACAGAGCCAACCCTCCCATCACAGGGATCAGGGAGAGATTCACCAGCAATCCTGCAGAGCAAAATCATCTCACTTTAGTTTTTAATTTTTTTGTTAGATTTGAAATTTAATTTGAGAGAATTTGAAATTCTGAACAGCAAGAAAAAAGGACCACACCGAACTTCAGATTTTTAAAGCCGCAATAATTTCTTGACAGAAAAATAACAAGGATCCCCTTCCACCAAACCCTTTTAATTCCACAAACTCAGACTGATTTCAGTCAGACTGTGTTCAGACTGATTCTTCCAGCTGCATTTATTATATTTTAGAGGCCATACTTTCACCACAGGCAATAAAAAAAGAGAGGAATTAAATCTCATTTCAGGACTCACCGGTGTATTCCCCCAAAATCATCCGGGACATGATGACAGTGAAAATTGGAGCAGAGCTTTTCACAGTTTCTGCAAATGAAACTGCCACATTCTTCAGGCTGACCAGGCCCAGGACCACTGTTGCAAATCTGCAGCAGAAGAAAATCACAAGAAATTAATTTTAAAAAAGGAAGAAATTAATTAGTGCACCAGAACAAATTAAAATAATCCTTCAAGAGCTACTCTTGGACACTCAGCATAAAAAGAATTGCACTGTGGTTTCTCCTGCACCTCCAAGGTCAGATCTTTCTTTCAGCTATGGCTTAAACATTATTTATTTAAAGCAAATAAAGGCACCCTTGGGTAACTGAGGAATGTCTTTGGCTGCAGAGTGGATTTCTAGAAAACAAATTTACTTTTTAACACACTCCAAGCTTCAAGTGACCATTTTTTAAGCCGAAGTTTTCAACAGGCTCAGTTAGAAAAGTGAAAAATCTTCTGAGAATCAGAAATGCACCAAGGAAACTTTATCTGCAGTTATCCATATTTAGTGTAAATTAGATATGCTACACAATTACCACAGTTTAAACTCTGAAATTAATTAAATTTATCACTTGTTTGATTTTCTTTATCAGTTTTGCAGGGTAGAGGAAACAAAACCAGGCATTTTTATTCCCTCCTTGACCACAAAACTAATACAACCCCAGCAAATAGCACCCAGCAAATATTTACCTTTCAAAAGATAAATTTTCATAACCTGGATGACTTTTGAGGCAAAAGGCTGATAAATATTAATGCACTAAACAAACATCAGCCTCAAAAGAGAGCAGGAAAAAAATAAACGATAAGAGAAATGAGCTCTGAGAAAATGTAAATGTGATGGGAAGGCCAAAAAATTAAACATCTGAGAATAGAACAAAAGCAAATAAAAATAAGATTATCCTAGGATATTTTTGGAGGGGTGGAGAAAGAGAAATACTCCAAACACCTCATCAAGAATAAAAAGGCAGAGAGACATGAGAACAGAACTTTGGGGTTGAGGGTTTTAAGGATAGAGATTTTTTTTTTGAAGATAGAGGGTATCACTACACTTTCTTTTATTTTTTTTTTGTTTATTTTATATGTTGGTAGTTATTGAAACAGGTTTTTTGGTTTATTATGCATTTTTTTTAAATGTAGTTTTTTTTTGGAGGAGAAATTGGTTTAGTCTATGGTTAATAAGAAAAGTTTAGTTAAAAATTACTCTATTATTTCTTTTTACTTAGAATTTTTCTTTTTAACATCTTAGGTTTTAGGTTTTTTTTTTTCTTTTAGACTGAGGAGGAGTAATATTTTATAAAGCTTTTATTTTTTAAGGAAGTGTTAAAAGTTTTAAATTTTTTGGATGGTTGAGATTTTTGTTTAAACTTTTTAGTTTTTATGATTGGGTACTTTTTTGTTGTGTTTTTTGGTTTTTTTTGGTTTTGCGGGTTTTTTTTTTTGTTTTGTTTTTGTTTTTTTTGTTTGGTTGGTTTTTTGGTGTTTTTTTTTTTGGTGTGTTGTTGGTACTGTTTTTTTTTTAGAGAGATTCTGGGGGGGGAACATAAACATTATAGTCCTGATAAAATTCTTTAATCAACAAATATTAGCAGAGATAATGCAGAAATGTTTCCCATGTACCTCATTAATCCAACAAAGAGCATGATCATGATGAAGTTGGGGGGGTAGGAGATGCGGGTTTTGTGCTGGTACAAACAGCACGGCACAAACATCTTGATGCAGCCAATGAAGGTGGTGGAAAGCATCTGAACAGCACCTAAAGGAGGGGCACAGAGGGGAAATGAAGTCAGATCACAAAATTCTGTGTCAGATCACACAACAAATCCATTTTCGTGAGAAAATCTCTGACACAAACATCTGTGCGGTGGTTTTTTTGTATATTTTATACAATATAAAAGTGTATCTTTTAGATAATGCTCACAAAAGCCCTTTGCTTCTACATCTAAGCCAGGCAGCACAATAAGCCAAATGTTTATAAACCTGGTTCACAGATAAACTGTTCTTTGTTTGCCCCTTGAGAAGAAAAAGAAAAGAACTAAAATGGCCATTGGATAACAGATATCACCAAAGGCAACTCTTGCACTGCACAGCTCTGGAGAGCATCAACAACTTACTCAAAAATTGACTTTTTGTTAAATCCTCCAGCACAGAAAACTAAAAAATTTTTTTTTTTTTCTCTTAAAGCTCCTCTACGAGGAAAATTTCATCTTTCAGCAAGTGGAGGAAAGGACAGTGTCAGAAACCACTTTTCTGGCCAAAATCCCAAGATCCCTCCCCACAGCTTCCAAGCCAAGCATTTTTCACTTCAATTGAACCATTCTCTCCCCCAGCTTTACATGGGACAATCTGGGAATATCAGCCATAGGATCATGGAATATCCTGAGCTGGAAGGGATCATCCAGCCCAACTCTTATCCTCAGACACCCCAACCACCCCACCCTGTGCCTGGCAGCATTATCCAAATGTCCTGGGAGTTCTGGCAGCTTTTGGGGCTCCCATTCCAGTAAAATAAATCAATTTCCCCCTGGAATTGAGGAAAAGCAGGGTACCAAGCATGCTGGGCTCTCCCTCCAGCAAGGACAGAATGTATTTGTTAAGGAACAGAGTGCAAAAGCTGAAGAAAAACCACAAAGTGAGGTAGATGAGGGCGTGGGAGTTCCAGATGCCCAGGTCGGACTCGATGACCGTGGTCTCTGTGATTGTGATTTTCAGGACATTCTCCTCTGGCAAGCTGTCACTGCGAGCAATCACAAATTTCTCACTCCTGTTAGCAAAGAGGGAGCCCAGCTGGAACAGGGATTTCCCCTTTGGCTTCTCCTCCAGCTGAGGAGGGCTCGGGGCCTCTGGGGTCAGAGCACTCGGCACGGCCGACATGGTGAGGTGAAGAAATAAATATCTGTCCTTCACACAAAACAACACTGATACATCACTTGTTGAAATAAAAATGTCATGTGGTCAATGCTTCATCTCCCAGGGGCCTGGAAAACTGGGCTTGGTCCTCCAAGGAACATCTTGCAGGAATATAAACTCCTCATGCTTCTTCATGTGGGCTGCTCCATGTTTTCTGCCTAAGAGGAGGGAAAAAAAGGGAAAGAAGGAAAAAAAAAATAGTGTGACATTTTATATTCCTAGTGCAGCAAAGAGCACATTTCACCTGCACTTTATGAAAGATACAGAGACCTCTGTAATCCTTCAGGCTGGATTTTGAACTCCTGATGTATTCATGCCAAGATTAAGCAACAAGAAATCATCTTGGGGAGGTTTTTTAATTCTAAAATAACACACACCCACCCACCAGACTTTGTGTTTTTATGTCCTTTTCCCTCAGGAGCACCTCAACACAGCCTTTCCAATTATAACTAACTCCTCTTCCAGATTCTACTGTGTCTTTGATCTCAGTCTGCCTTTAAACACTCCCCAGAAAAATCTTCCCAACCCAGCAAATCCAAGCAGGAATCTCTGCCCTTTATACTAAATAACCTGTAATCAACCTAAGTCAAAGAGAACAATAATCAAGGGCTGTAACTCCCAGTAATCCCAGAGCTACCCTGGTAAATGTATCCAGGTGAAAAAAGTAGGGAAATATGTCCAAGAGCTTTCCAGAATGGTTATATATTTAGTTACATGGGAATAATAAACCTTCCTAATTTTGCTATACCTTGCAATTCAATATTAGCACTTGCAACTAATTCTTAAGGCCTTTTTAGCAGACTTGGCTGCAAAAGGCATTAAATGGCTCTCAACCAGAGGTTTTTGTTTAAAAAAAATTTTACAAATTACACAAAATGTAGCCAGTCACAGTGGCAGAGCAGAGGAAACAAGGAAACCACCCTGTGAAAGAAAGAGAAACACAAAAGTTCTTACAAGAGATATTGCACCTGCCCTGAGTTTTTGAGCAGTTCACTCTATTTTCTTTAAGACTTTATTCTTAATGCTTTTTAAATGTCCAATGTGGCTTCTCAAATCACGAAGAGGTACTGAGGAGTTAAATATCTGGTGTCAGTCTCAGTATCCTACACAACAGCTGTTTCACAGTGAAATTGTCCATTCCTCACATTCTCCAGTTACTACAACCATGCACTGAAAATTTCCATCCCTGTGCCCTTATCTCTTCCCATTTTTCCAGGAATTCATGCCAGCAGCACACTGAGGTATGGGACCCTCTCACACCATCACATTAAACCACAAACTTGTGGTAACCCAGTTTAACACAAAACTTTGAAAAAAGATACACGTTCTCCAAGAGAATTTGTTCAGAAAAATGGATTTTTGACTCCTCCTCCTTTTCCAGGTCATTAAAAAATACCCCACTACATCCAAAATAGTTAATTCTCACAGCTTTTCCAATAGCTTTTCTGTTTATACAACTTAATTAAACCAAGACCAACTAAGCACAACCAAAGCCCCACCCTCAGCAGTGCTGTGATATCAGATTTGATATCACTGATTCCACACACGCCAGGAAGCAGAACAGCAAATAACAACAAAATTACTCCCCTAAATTACTGACCTGCTGGCTTTAATCAACTGGAAAGTCTAAATGGGCTGAAAGAGTTCTCCATCTGGAACTAATTCAGTCTTCCTCCCTCAAGGCCAACCAGCAGCTGATGTTTACCAACAGATGAAAACGTGGCAGTGGTTGGCAGTTGTTTCTCTTGGATTACTCACAAAGACTCAATCTTCCAGCTCAAAAGAACCGGCAGCAGCTGAGCGCCTCTCACACTCCTTGCACCTCTCCAATCCCTGACTACACTCCTATTAGCAATTATGGTGGAAAAAATAGCCATGAAGAACTTTAGAAAGTCGGCTTTTCACACATAGAAACTAAAGCTCCAATATGTTGCAAGGCTGATGTGTCAGTGAAAAACCAAGTGTCTGTGACCCTTATGTGTTAGGCAAAGGTCACTCAAACATTGCTCCCAACGCAGCAAACGCACAAAATTCCACACCCTGAGCAAGCCTCGCTCATTAACCATCTGGTAACCAGAGCATCCAGGATGTTACAAACACCACAAACACAACAGCAGAGGCTGAAGGGCTGAGACAGCTTAGCCCTTTGTGGCACTCCAGCCGTGCTCCTGCCAGATCCTTCCCTGCGCATTGCCAACCGCACTCCATTCCCATTCCCGCAGCATCCCCCGCACCGGAGCGGGGCTCGGACACTCCCGGGAGCACCGCGGCCCTTCCGACCCAGCCTGCGGGCCCGGGGGCTTCCAGCACCGCCACCCCTGCCCGGGCCCGGCATCCCTCAATCCATCCCCGGAGCCTCCAGCGCATCCCGGCTGGCACCTGCGCCCTCCGCAACCCCGGCAGCACCGGCGGCACCGGGCTCCGGCGGCACCGGGCTCCGGCGGCACCGGGCTCCGCTACCGCACCGGGCTCCGCTACCGCACCGGGGCTCCGATAGCACCGGGCTCCGGCGGCACCGGGTTCCCGCACCGCCGGGCTCCGGCCGCCCATCCCCTGCCGTGCCCGCAGCCCCGCGCTGCAGAGCCCCGGGGCAGGCGGGGGCACCGCGGAGCCGAGCGCCGGGCTCGCCCCTTTGTCCCCACAGCGGCGGGGAGGCCATTTTACCAAAAGCACGAGGAAAGGCAGCAAAGCAGAAGCGGGTACGGGGCACGCACAGCCGGGTCGAATTCGCTGCCGCCGCCCCTCCATCGAGCCGGGCGGGCTGCCCAGCGCCGAGGGACCCCCGCGGCGGAGGGCGGGAGCGCGGCGGCCCCGCCGCCCGGGAGGAGCCCGGGCCGCGCTTCCCGCCGTGCCGGGGAAGTGACGCGGGGCGGGCCGGCCCCGGAAGCGCCGCCGGGACCCTCCGCAGCCATGTAGGACCCGCGGGCGGCGGGAGGCGAGGCGCGGCCGCCGCCATGGACGGCAGGTACGGCCGGACCGGGCCGCACCACGCGCGGCGCGGGGGGATCTCCCCGCGCTGCCCCGGAGGCGCCCGTGCTGGGGATGGGGGGTCTGGGGCGGTTCCCCCCCCGCTGCGGGGGTGGTGCGGCCCCTGACGGCCCCGCTCTCTCTCCCTCAGCGGCGCCGCGGCTGCGGCGGGGCCGAACCTGCCCAACCTCACCCCGCGGCACCGGCAGCTCATCCCCACGCCCTGCGGCCCCGTGAGTACAGCCCTGCCCCGAGGGGGTGGAAAAACATGGCTCAAACCCGCGTGCGAAGTCAGGTGGAGCAGGGACAGGCGGTGTCCGCTCGCCGAGGCTTGGCACAGCTCTGCTGACAGCGCTGTGGAATGCCCTGAGCTGGAAGGGACCCTCAGGATCACTGATCAGCTCCTGGCCCTGCTCACACTCCCCAAAATCCCACCTGGGGCAGCTCCTGGGACCCTCAGGATCATTGATCAGCTCCTGGCCCTGCTCACACACCCCAAAATCCCACCTGGGGCAGCTCCTGGGACCCTCAGGATCATTGATCAGCTCCTGGCTCTGCTCACACACCCCAAAATCCCACCCTGGGCACCCCTGACAGCTCCTGGGACCCTCAGGATCATTGATCAGCTCCTGGCCCTGCTCACACACCCCAAAATCTCACCTGGGGCAGCTCCTGGGACCCTCAGGATCATTGATCAGCTCCTGGTCCTGCTCACACACCCCAAAATCCCACCCTGGGCACCCCTGACAGCTCCTGGGACCCTCAGGATCATTGATCAGCTCCTGGCCCTGCTCACACACCCCAAAATCCCACCTGGGGCAGCTCCTGGAGCTCTGGCAGCCCCAGGGCCGTGCCCATTCCTGTGCCCAGCAGCCTCTGGGGGATGAACCTTTCCCAAAATCCAACCTGAACCCCCTGGCCCAGCTCCAGGGGTTCCCTGGCTGTGTCCCTGTCCCAGAGCAGAGATCGGAGCTGCCCCTGCAGCCCCTGAGGTTCCCCTCAGTCTCCTCCCGCTGAATAAAGTGTTAAATTCCTGTGAGGATTTTGCTCCATCTGAAGTATTTCAATAAAGAGAAGGACTTTGCCTTCCTGAGAACGCTGACCCTGTCTTTGCAGTTTTCTAAACCTGAAAGTGTAGGAAAATGTTATTTCCCCGCTCTGACAGGTGTGCATGTGGGCAGTGTTAATGTCTTGGGTTATAACACCGTGGCCTTGTGAGGCACAAAGACAGGCTGTGGGTATAAACCAGGACAATCTAAACTGAGATTAATTATGAAATAAAGTTACACTTCTCCCTTCCTCACCAGTTTAAATCCAGTCGTGGAGTTCCTCTTCCTTTTCCCAAAGGAAACCCTGCACTGTCTCATTCACCCCACTTACCTCAGTGTGATTTTTAGGAACAGCAATGAGTTTATTCTGCATGATGTGTTAAAGAGTTTTCTCCGTTTACAGATAAAACCATGTTCAGAGCTCTCATTCCCTGTGAAGATCTACTTCTGTGTCACTATTTTGTCCCTGCTGAGTGTCATAGGGCTGACCATCGAGACGCTGGTGCGCCAGACTGAGGAGGATTTCACCATTTCCTTTATCCAGTTGGTTGGAGTTGGTAAGAAACCCAGTTTGGATGGAGTAAAAAATGAAAATAATAATAAAGTAACAATAATAATAATGATGATGATGTTGTGGTTAAGCAGGAACTAAAGTTTCTTATATAAGAGAAACTGGATGTTCAGCTATTCCAGAAAAGTTCACCAGTTCCTATTTTAAAGTCTGAGCCATAATATGCTGAGAATTCACGTGTCCACAGTCCAAGCTTCCTTCCTTGGGTATTTTTCCAGTCAGAGTTTCAGCAGAAGCTTTGTGGGTCTGTTTGTATTAAACAGAAATTAACATTAAAATAACCAACTCGAGGATTTCAGGAAATTTCATGTGCATATGCCATCTCTGCAAAAGGCTTGATGACCAAAAAAGAATTTATTTTCAAATTTGTACAGATTCTGTGGATTTAGCAGCTGAATTTGTGAAACAAGGAAATACCATCTTAAGCCTTTCAGGTCTTCCTGAGGTCGTGTCCACAAAATCACGTTTCACTTTGTAATTGGCCAATGATTTCCCATTTTCTCAGTCCCTGTTAAGGGCAGTGAAAAAGGAATTTCATTCACTGAAGGTTTGTTTACAGAGACTGAAGTTACTGTTTAATTGGAAGATTTGTACAATGCTGTCCCCATGTCCAGCACAGCAAATTGGATGAACTGATGTGTGGAATTAAGGAAGCAGTGCTTTGGAAAGAGAAATTTGTTCTTATTTTGGCTGCTGTAAGAATTAACCAGTGTTTGCAGCAGTGTCCTGTGAAAGAACAAAGCCTTTGCCTGTTTCATTTCATTCAAATAAACAACTGGACATAATGTTCAGTGTAGTATTCATAGAAGTTTGGATAACACACTGTGGCAAGCACATTCTCTCTCAAGAGTTTTCATGGAGGAGCACAGAGGAAAGAAAGAGAAAACAATTTCTATTTCTTCTCTTTGTTTTCCATGTGGAACGTGTTTGGAGAATTGTTTCCAGGGGTGATGCTTGGTTGGGTTCTGGTGGGGATTGTTTGAGCTGGTGGCCAATCCAACCTACCTGGGGCTGTGCTTTCAGAGAGGGGCACGAGTTGTGAGTTAGATAAAATAGGTTTGTAGTTTTAGCACCTCCTTTAAATAGTATATTAATGTATTACAGCATAGTTATAAAAAATAAATCATTCAGCCTCTGAGCTGCAGTCACACATCAGCATTTCTCCCCTCCGGGCTCCCCTGCATTTACAATAAGTGGAAAATCCTGAGAAAGTGAGAATGTACTTGCCACATACACTGCCATTTTCACAGTGGTACTTCACAAGTAATTAAAAAATATAACCAATTATTTAATTTATTGTGTGCTAAACATAGCAGGGAGTGTTTTAATCACCTGATCAAGCTCCTTGGTAAGAACAAAGACCGAGGAGCATCAGGGACACTTTGCCCCTTGCACTTTGGCTGCAGAATTGGGAGTTTTGTCCCGTTGGAGCTGGCACTGACATTCCCTCTCGCCCCCAGTGTTCTGTGTGTATTATGTGAGCAGGGGCATCCTGCAGGAGAACCGCCAGGAGCTCTCTGTGTTTGTGCTCTCCGTCCTGCTGGTGATGCTGCGCTCCATCATCAACTTCAGCCTGCTCCCTGCTGAGCAGAAGCCAAAACTGCTGGTCAGTCTCTGCTCCTCAGCAGCTTTTCCTTCCCCCTCAGCTTGGGTTTGAAAATGCACCATTGGGAGGGCAAAATGGCTGTGCTAACACAGATCATATTTTTTTTTATTTTTATATATATATATATGTATAATCAATTATTTTTATATAGTAATTATTATTAATACACAATATAATATTTATATTACATTACATTTACATTACATTATATTATAGAGTACTATAGGATATATTATAATATATTAATATATATTAAATAAAATATATATTATATAAAAATTATTTTATATTATTATCCTATATATTATATATATTCTTATTATATTATTATATAGTGTATACTATTATGTATACTCTATATACTGTTTTGTATATGATGCTGATCACATTTATAATATTTATATATTATATATTATATATATATTTAATGTTATACAATAGCTTATATATTCTATTTATTACATATATTATATATATTATATACTTATATGATATTTTGTATTATGTTTATATTCATTTTATTTATTTATCTTATATATTATTATTTATTACCTATTTTATTTATTATTTACATTCATATTTATTATTACATATTGTTTATAACATATAAAAATATTTAATGTATTTTTGTATTAATTTGTATGTTTTTGTATTTACATTTTTGTATGTTAAATACAAAATATTTATTTTGTATTTTTTAAATTTATTTTTGTCTTTTTGTGTTTCTTATGTATTAATGTCACTGATAAGAGAGAATCAGGCTCAATTACTGCACAACAAAATGTGCACACCCACAACTGCAAATCTTCTCTGAGCTGATCTCTGAGTTTCCTTATGGCAGCACCTAAAAATAACAGAAATATCAAAGAATTACAGAAAATTACTGTGAAATGTATCCTTCACCTCACCTACCCTGGTTTA